AGGCTGGAGTGCAATGGCGCGATCTCGGCTCACCGCAACCTCCGCCTCCTGGGTTCAAGCAATTCTCCAGCCTCAGCCTCCCGAGTAGCTGGGACTACAGGCATGCACCATCATGCCCAGCTAATTTTTGTATTTTTAGTAGAGACGGGGTTTCACCTTGTTGACCAGGATAGTCTCGATCTCTTGACCTCGTGATCCACCCGCCTCGACCTCCCAAAGTGCTGGGATTACAGGCTTGAGCCACCGCGCCCGGCCTTGCATTTAGATTTCTATATGTGTTTTCACTAAGAAATATATTCATATTCAGTAAGTATGTATGGAGTGTCCTATTCCTAGAAGGCACTGTGCTTGGCTTTGTCAATACAGTAATGTATAGGTAATGAACAAGACTGAGAAAGTCACTGCTGTCATGGACTTTACCAGTAGTTGGTGAGACATGCATCAAACAGGTAAGCAAATGAATAGATAAGGAATAGAAAATTGTGCTATAGAGACAAGGCAATAGGAGTGATGGAATGAGATGACAGCACTTGGGTGCTTAGGGTACTTGTGTTGAAGTGGGCATGCTTGCATAGAGATGTGAAGTGAGGGTTCAGTTCTCCAGTCAATGTGAGCAGGAAACACAAAGATGGAGTAAGTGATGGAACAGTGGGAAGAGAGATCTGAGAGTCAGGCCAGGGTCCATATCATATAGGGTTTTGACTGTCATTATGAGGAATGTGGGACGTTCTCCAAGAGTTATTGATTTATTTTTAATTAATACCCAATGTTTGTACATATTTATGGGATACATGTTATGTTTTGTTATATGCATAGAAGGTGTAATGATCAACTGTCATGGTATTTGAGATATCTATCCAATCTACAAGAGGAATATTTATCATTTCTATGTGATAGGAACATTTCAAGTCTTCCTCTAGCTATTTTAAAATATACAGTACAATACATAGTTGTTAATTAGAGTCACTCCACTCTGTTACTGAACATTAGAAGTGATTCCTTCTATTTAACTGTGTATTTGTAACATTAACCAACCCCTCTTCATCCCTTACCCCTCACCCACACACCCTTCCCAGCCTCTGGTTTCTATCATTCTATTCTCTACCTCTGTGAGAACATTTTTTTTTAGCTCCCAGATATGAATGAGAACATGTGATATTTGTTTTTCTGACCTCCAGTTTCCCTCCATGTTGCTGCAAATGACATGATTTAATTTTTTAATGTCTAATATATACACAATAGTATTCCATTGTGTATAGTATTCCATTGTGTACATATCACATTTTCTTTGTCTATTTTCTGTTGGTGGACACTTGGGTTGAATCCGTACCTTTGGTATTGTGAATAGTGCTACAATAATCATACAAGTACAGGTATCATTTTGATATACTGATTTCTCTTCCTTTGGATTAATACCTAGTAGTGGGATTGTTGGATCATATGGTAGTTCTATTTTTAGTTTTTTGAGAAATCAGCATGCTGTTTTCCATAGTGATTGTACTAATTTACATCCCACCAACAGTATATAAGAGTTCCCTTTTCCCCTCATGTATATGTTATTTTTTATCTTTTAAATTGTAGCCATTCTGACTGGGGTAAGATGATATTTCAATTGTGATTTCAATTTGCATTTCTCCCTGATGAATAGTGGTGTTGAGCATTTTATCAAATTCTCTTGACTGTTTGAATGCCTTATTTTGAGTAATGTCTACTCATATCATTTGCCCACTTTTAAATTGGAGTTTTTTTGCTATTATTTTATTTCCTTGTATATTCTAGATATTAGTCCTTTGTCAGAGAAATAGTTTGCAAATAATTTCACTCATTTGTCTATTCATTCTGTATATAGTTTCCTTTGCTGTGCAGAAGCTTTTTAGTTTAATATAGTCCCATCTGTCTATTTTTGGTTTTGTTGCCTATGCTTTTGCAGTCTTAACCATAAAATTTTTGCCTAGGCCAATGTCCTGAAGCATTTCCTTTATGTTTTCTTTTAGTAGCTTTATAGTTGAGTATTATACTTAAGTAAAGTTGAGTTTATAGTTTATAGTTGAGTTTTATAGTTGAATCTTACCCTTAAGTCTTTAATCCATTTTCAGTCAGTTTTTGTATGTGGAGAGAGATTGAGTCTAGTTTCATTCTTTTGCATATAGATATTCAATTTTCCCAGCACCATTTATTATTTTCTAACTTTATTTTAGGTTCAAGGGCTACAAATATGGGTCTGTTATATAGATAATTTGTATGTTGTGGATGTTTGGTGTACATATTATTTCATCACTGAGGTAATAAGCATAGACGTTTTTGGAACTTTGACTTCCCTCCACCTTTCATCCTCAAGTAGGCCCTGATGTCCATTGTTACATTCTTTGTGTTCATGCATACTCTGTTTAGCTCCCATTTGGAAGTAAGAACATGCATTATTTGGTTTTCTGTTTCTTCATTAATTTGCTTAAGATAATGGCCTCCAGCTCCATCCATGCTGCTGCAGAGGATATGATCTTGTTCTTTTTCATGGCTGCATAGTATTCCTTGGTGTGTGTGTATCACATTTTCTTTATCCAGTTAGCTATTGGTGGACATTTAAGTTGATTCCTTGTCTTTGCTATTGTGATTAGTACTGTGATGAATATATGTCTCCATGTGTCTTTTTTTTTTTTTTTTCTTGGTACTTCACTAGCAGGAACCATGTGTCTTTATATTAGAATGATTTTCCTTTTTTGTTTCTTCCTCGTGTGGTTTTGCTTTCATAGTAATGCTGGCCTTATAGAATGAGTTAAGAATTCCCTCCTCTTCAGTTGTTTTTGGAATAGTTTGAGGAGAGTTGGTGTTAGTTCTTTGAGAATTCAGTAGATTAAATTCAGCAATGAAGTCACTGGTCCTGGACTTTTCTTTGTTGGAGGACATTTTATTACTGATTAAATCTCATTACTCATTATTGGTCTTTTTAGGTTTCTTATTTCTTCCTGATTTAGTCTTGGTAGGTCCTGTATGTCCAGACCTTATACATTTCCTCTGGATTTTCCAGTTTCTTAGTGCATAGTTGTTCTTAGTAGACCCTGATGATCTTTTTTATTTCTCTGGTGTCAGTGGTAAAATCTCCTTTTTTCTTTCTGATTTTATTTCTTTGCTTTTCTTCTTGGTTAGTCTAGCTAGTGGTTAATTAATTTTATCCATGGTTTTAAAAAACTACTTTTCATTTCATTTCTCTTTTCTGTTGTTTAGCCTGCGTTTTATTTAGTTCTGCTTTGATATTTCTTTCTACTAATTTTAGGTTTGGTTTGTTCTTGCTCTTGTAGTTCCTTGAAGTGCATCATTAGGTCGTTTATTTGAAATCTTTCTACTTTTTGACATAGGCATTTATTACCATAAATTTTCCTTTTAGCAATGCTTTTACTGTATCCCATAGGTATAGGTTTTGGTATGTTGCATTTTGATTTTCATTTGTTTAAAAAATTTTTTTATTTTCTCCTTAATTTCTTCCTTGATCCAGTGGTTATATAGGAGCATGTTGTTTAATTTCTGTGTAATGTATAGTTTCCAAAGTTTCTCTTGTTAAATGATTTCTAGTTTGATTCCATGTCTGAGAAAAGACAATATAATTTTGGTTTTTAAAAATTTATTAAGACTTGTTTTGTGTTCTAACATATGGTCTCACTAGAGTACATTGTCTGTGCTAATGAGAAGAATGTGTGCTCTGTAGCTGCTTGATAAAATGTTCAGTAAATGTCTGTTAGGCCCATTTGGTCTAATGTACAGTTTAAATCCAATGTTTCCTTGTTAATTTTCTGTCTAGATGATCTAATTGTGAGAGTGGGGCATTGAAGTCCCCAGTGATTATTGTTCTGGAATATATATCTCTTTGCCTTTTGATCTAATAACATTTGCCTTATATATCTGGGTGTTCAGCTGTTTGGATTATATATATTTAAAATTTTTATATCCTCTTCTTGAATTGATATTTTAATCATTATTTGATGACCTTCTTTGTCTCTTTTTGCTGTTTTTGACTTAAAATCTTTTTTTTTTTTTTTCTGATATAAAGATAGCTATTCCAACTCACTTTTGGTTTCCATTTGCATGGAGTATCTTTTCTTGTTCCTTTACTTTCAACCCATATGTGTCTTTACCAATGAGTTGAGTTTCTTGTAGGCAGCTTATAGTTGGGTCATGTTTTTTCATCCATTCAGCCAGTCTGTATCTTTTAAATGAAAAGTTTAATCCATTGACATTCAATGTAATTACTGATATGTATGTGAGGGCTGATTCTTATTATTTTATTATTGATTCCTAGTTGTTTTGTATAGCCTTTGCTTCTTTTTTATTTTTTATCATTGCGGTTTGGTTGTTTTCTGTAGGGATAACATTTGAGTCCTTTCTCCTTTTTTGTATGTTTGTTGTGTCCATGGGTTTTATACTTTTATGTGTTTTCTTTTTTTTTTTTTT